GCAATCAGGGAAAGTATCTTTAATGGAAACAATCTGTTCAAAGTTTACCTGATGACAGGTCATAGAGTGCAGTGACGGAAGTTATGAACTGGCAGCAGAATCGAGGGCTGGCACTGAATATCTGCTTCAGCGTCTGAATGGATCCCGGCACCAAACAGCAGTAGTCATCCACAAGGGCCCTGGCTAACCTCACACAGTAGACCACAGGTGTCCGCTGGAAAGAAGCCACAGTCCACGTACTGCAGGTGTCATGAGCTAGTAGACAAGCAACTGCACACAGATGGTGAACACCACCAGAATTGGCAGAACCTCTTCTAAGATGGAAAAAAGATGCTACTGGCTTAGCAGGGGTTGGCAATCTAAAGTCCACAGCCCAAATCTGTTCTACTGTCATTTTTCTAAATAAAGTTGGAGACACAGCCATATTCATTTCTTTGCCTATTGCCTAAGGCTGCCCTTGCACTAGAAGGACAGAGTTGAGTAGCTGTGAGAGAGACTGTGTGACCTGCAAAGCCTAAAATATTTTACTATCTTGCTCTTCACATAAAACATCTGTCAGCCCTTGCTTTAAAATTTACTTAGGTGGCCACATGTGGTAGTTCATGCCTGTAATCCCAGTACTTTGGGAGGCTGAGGGGGGAGGATTGCTTGAGTCCAGGAGTTCAAGACAAGCCTGGACAACATAGTGAAGACCTCATCTCTACTAAAAATTAGCCGGATGTGGTGGCACACAGTTGTAGTCTCAGCTACTCGAGAGGCTGAGGTTGAAGGATTACCTGAGCCCAGAAGGCCAAGGCTGCAGTGAGTCATGAACGTGCCACTGCAATCCAGTCTGGGTGACACAGTGAGACCCCAGAGACCCCAACTTAAAAAAAAAAGAACACCAGTCTCCTCGGGAGGAAGCAGTAGCCCCTTGCCCCAGTATGGCAAATCCTGACCCAAGTCACTAAACCCCTTTCCTGTAGTTGACAGCATCACAGCATGACAGCATCACAAGGGTTAAATGAAAAACTACATGATAAATTAGGAGATGCTAAACTTGGTTCCACTGTCAAGGGATAAAGGTAATCCTGGGGTTAAATACAATACACGTGATCAATTTAGATACCCCAGAAATTGGATTGCTGGGAATTAAGGTACAGATTCCACTGAGATTTACCTATGCACTTCAAATATGCACTTATTTTTGCTAGTCAAATTTCAAAGATAAACAAGATTACAAAAAAAATTTAATTAAATTTGAAAAAAAGATTTCAAGCACTTGGGAAGAAAGCAGGTTTATAAAACTCAATGCAGTAGTAAATTCTGATAGCTTGAGGGAGGATCAGATTAGTCAAAATTTGCCACTAATAATTGCTCTCAATGGATTATCCATTTTTCAAAGACTATTAGTAGTTTTTAAAAAAAGTAAAACAAAATGAATTTTCCAAAATGCCATCCTAACACTAAACTTATAAACATTTTTCCTTTGATATTTAAAAACACTCTAGGGCTGGACACAGTGTTTCACACTTGTAATACCAGCACTTTGGTAGGTCGAGGCAGGAGGATTGCTTGAGCCCAGTTCAAGATCAGCCTAGACAACACAGCAATACCTTGTCTCTACAAAAAAATAAAAATAAATAAAAATAAATACATAAACCCTTGCACTCAGCCTAAAAAAGCTAAATAAATTTTTAAAAACACTCTAGAAGGTGCTGATATCTATATCCATTAGAAGAGCCATCAGGCCAGGCGCAGTGGCTCATGCCTATGATCCCAGCACTTTGGGAAGCCGAGGTGAGAGGATTGCCTAAGCCCACGGGTTCGAGAGCAACCTGGGCAACTTGGCGCGACCTCACCCCTGCAATAAATCAAGAAAAATTAGCCAGGCGTGAAGACACATGCCTGTAGTTCCAGCTACTTGAAAGGCTGAGGCAGAAAGATTGCCTGAGCCCAGTAGGTCCAGTCTTCATTGGCTGTGAGCATACCATTGCACTCCAGCCTGGGTGACAGAGTGACACTCCAACTCAAATTTTTAAAAAAATTACAAAAGAGCCATCAACTTTTTTTGTCACCCTAGACCAATGCAAAATAATTCACTTGTTTATTAACCCAACTGTGTAAAAAACAAACTTCTACAGACAGCAGAAGTGGTAAACACTGCCCCAACTATAAGATATACCGTGATGTTTCTATAAAAATCCTATCTTTGAGACTGCATGCATGTTTTCAGAATCCTACCTTATCAATTTCCCCTAAAAAAAAGGTTTTTCACTTGTTCTAAAGAGGAGGCTATTTCTTTTTCCTTCCTTAAAAAATTTCATTTGCCATTACAAACTACTGTATTCTCAAGAATGGTAACGATCTGTATGTAAAAATGAAACTGGGGTTCACTATACTGGTATCGCGACACAGGGCAGTAATGATCGAGGGTATAATATACGTGGAATAAAGCCTCTCCAGAAATCCAATTACATGAAAATTCCTGACATTAAACTCATTCTCAGAGACTCAGAAGAAGGGCTAATCTAGATAAGTACCTGGAGCCAGGAAGCGGCACACTCCAGCACTGGGATTCGACACACAGCCACAGCCATAGAGACCAGTTTTCCCAACAAGCTCATCCGGCTGTCATCAGCTTTGTTCCCTTGAGGGCTGAAAAGGGATGAGAAAATTAACTGCCGAACAGAGTCCTTGGTTTGCTCCTGGAAATAATTGCACATGATTTCAAGAAGTTGAAGCTCCTGGAGTGAATTCAGTCTCTGCAAAACAAAATCCAGGAAGGGCTGTAAGAAATTTGGCTCTAACACGCTTACTAATTCACACAGTAAGAAAACAGGAAATGTATTCTCTTCCCCGGGGTACTCTTCACCATTCTGAAGCTCAGATCCCAGGGAGAACTTGGCTGTTAATCTTAGGAAAAAAGTCATAGGTTCCATTATGCATCACCCTGGAGGACTCAGGATGGCCCACAAGAGTTTGAGCCCCTTGGTAACAGACTAGCAGGCCTTCAGTGAGTGGGGGAGTCTCCAAAGTCTCTTCCTTGAACACCCGAGACTCGGCTGTCACACACCCCGAAAACAGGTCCACGACTGAGCAATGCAGCAGACCGCGGGCCTGGGGGCTGCTGCAGGGGCAGAGACAAGGCCGGAGCTCCTGTAACGAAGGGCGTCTGCGGTCTGACAAGCACTTGTCACTCCGGGGCGAGGAGGCGAGGCTGCCTGTCGCGACACGGTGGGGCAGCCCCCGGCCACCGCACCTTGGGCTGCGCGCCGCGCTCCTTGGGCACCTGGAACACGAACTCCTCCAGCAGCTCCACGGGGCCCTTGTCCACGATGGGCAGCGGCGCGCTCTGCAGCTGGCTGCTGAAGTAGATGTCCAGGTGGTACAGCACCTCCTTGGCGGCGCTGAGCGCGTCGCGGCGCAGCAGCGAG